GAGGAAGGGGACGGTGGTGGTGGTGGTGATGGTGTATGTTGGACAGAGAGATGGAAAAGTCGAACTCCAAACAAGACGGGCACTTTTTCCTCCCCTGCATGTGCATGGCGCAAACACTCGCTGGCTGTTTTTTTTTTTGTGCGTTTTTTTTTGTTTTTTGGGTCACTTTTTAATTCTCTGTTAAAGTGAAACAGTGATTTTTGGGTTAACAATAAATTTTAATATCTCACCTCTTTTCAAAAAGTTCCAGTGCAGATGCTATTCCAACAACGGAGAAATCTGAAAAATAAAAAAAAAATAGGAAATAAAAAAAGGCGTTTTTGTAGATGCTTGGACAAAGTTTTGGAAATAAAGCAATTTCTCATAACTTTCAGTACATTGGTGCTGCGTTTCGGTGCATTAGGTCTGTGTGCCGGCGTATAGCGTGGTAGCTGTGGGTAGATAGAGCAGCACTGCAGGATTAAGAGGCAGCAAGATTGTTAAACATGTCAACGTGTAATTGCACGATAAGGCCCTTCCGAGAAATTCATTGGCCCAGTTGCTTTCTCTATTCCGCGCTAATCTCGCCCGGCACATTCGCTCTGTGCAATCTGTCTCCATAATCTTCTGTGACAGAGCGGGCGACGAGAGCAGGCTGCTTGGTAATTTTTTTAGGAAAAGGGGGGAGAGACGCGGAGAAAATATGCAGAGGCGTGATAAAGTGACGCTAATTATCCCCATTTAGGACAGGGAGTGCAAGGGATCGGGGCTTTACGAACAACCGAGTGTGCGCCGGAGCTGATGGCCTCCTAGCACGGAATATATCGGTGGCTACAAGATAAGAGTATCGCACGGTGGAGAGATTTATTGGCCGGTCAGCTAAACACGCGTGCGCGCACACACACTGTCTCTCTCTCACACACACTCACACAAACACACACATTCACAGGAACGGTGGCTGCCACCATCGCCTGTACGCGCTGCACCCTACACTTACCCCCTCTTCCACCTCAAGGTGTAATTTATTCGGGTTAAATTTGCCAGAACGCTCCTCTTTTTAGCCTGGCGATGCGCCGTGACGCGCTCCGCCTCTCCGGCTCTTTCAGTGTTAATCCGCATCTCTTCACATCAACAGATAAGATGGAAACAGATGCAAAACACGCGAGGAGGCCATCCCTCTCTCCCTCCCTCCCGCCCTCCCCCTTCACCCGCCATACGGTGCGCGGCGTGGCGCGGAGATGTCTCCACAGATGCACTTTCTCTTATTTAAAACTCATTTCCAAGAGTATTTGTGATTTTATGTCAACAGATTAATGCGCAGCCAGACGTTCCACGCTTCTTTTCTTCTTCTTCTTCTTTTTTTTCTTACTATGAGGCCTAACAGGTTTAATTGACACACCATGCAAGTCTTCATCAGTGTGAAATAGGCCCTTTAACTATGTATTTGAGATTAATTGATTTTTAAAAACGCCTAAGTAGGCATACATTCCCCTCATTTACATGTGTATGGCTATTAATCTGTATCTTCATATGAGGCAATAAAGAAAGATGCACATGTCAACAGCAGCTGTGGCCTGTCAAAAAAAATGAAGTCATCTTAATATTGTATTTATTGTTTAAAGAGGATTAATAATGCTAAAATGACGGAGGTATGTTTTGTGAAAAACATCTGCAAAGTATTTTTGTTTAAAAATAAATAAATAAATCAATGATTTGTGAAATTCTGATGAGTCATCAGTGACTCCAAAAGCGACTTGTCACGAGTGTGTTGACCGATGGAAAGTTTAAAATCCAGTCTGTGCAACAGTTTGTCTGGATACTTTTGTGAATGTGCTCTTTTTTGTTGTTGTTGTTTTATATCTGACGAAAAGGGGCCTTGAGTTTTTCTTCTTCAGTTTCAATCACTGACTCTTTATGCAAAACCCAAAATTTCTTGCAGAGTTCAACTTGACAGTTTAAATCCTACTTTGCTGCCTCTATCAAGTGTCCAGTGCAAACAAAACAAAACAAAACCTAAAACCAGAAACACCTCTCCCATGATGGGACAATGGAATAAGGATAAAATACACTTTGGATGAAAGTCGTCATTTGTAAGTTGATTCATCATCTTTGAACACCGTTTATTTGTTCACCAAGATGAGCAAAATGCAGCAAAAGAAGTGAATATTTTTGTGATTTTGAGAGTGTTTCCCTGCTGTATTGTACTTCACCAAATCAATATATTCACAACGCTTTATCATCTAATAGTTCACATAATTTTCTTTCAGTTATGAACAGTTAAATGTCAATAGGTAGATTTAAAAAAAAAAGAAAAGAAAGAAAAGTGGATGCAAGATAAACCAGTCCTCCAGATCAGGTTAAATATGACTAAAAATGGGTCTTTGTTGGTCTTCTCAAAAAAAAGACATCATTCTATCTCTAAACTGTTTGTTTTTTCTTCTTCACTATTTCTGTCCGAGTCTTTTGTAAAATGTTCAGAACAGAAGCAGTGAAATTACATCAAAAGTTCACACTGGAAGCCAAGAAAATTACCTCAAAAAGATAGGAATCTAATTTGGCAATTTATTGTTTCACTGATATTCATATTCATTTCCAAAATATAAATCTATATTTAAACATGCAACACACTTTGTGAGAAGCTGTTACATTTTTTTTTTCAAAAGCATTTCATTATTTTTAAATCTGGTGTGAACTGTTTGAGAAATAAAGTCCAACACAACTTTGCAATTCAATAGCAGAATAAAAATGCAATTGCGGATTAATATAATGCTACAATATAGTATAAATACATAAATAATTTGAATAAAATTTGTAAAAAAAAATATAATAAAATTGAAGCCTAGGTTTGCCATGTAAATTCTCATGTCTTAGAGGAGGAGAAAAAGAAAATGATTACCGTCATATTTTAAGAAAAACCTCTTAACCCGTTATTAAACGAGGACATTTCGTTAAATATACTAACAGGTGGTTGTCATGTGAGGCCTTCTTGTACGATATATCATCAGATTTCTTTTAGAAAAAAAAATCAAAAACCAACGTGTGAGGAATTATATTTATATGAAAACTGAATGTGGGCCATCATCTTGGCCTGCGTGAAATATTAAAAATGGTTCATGGTTGTATTTTTGGCCTGCATGCCACTGAAATAGAGAAAAGGGGGCGAAATAAGCTTTCTACAATTTATGAATTAATTTCTAATTACCCACATAAAACTTGAGCTCATGAAATCACATCCACCTAACAAAATGGTTTCCTTACAGCCCTGCAGACTGTAGCTTTTTACGCATAATTACGCACAAACAATTGGGCCATTTAAAAGCTCGTGGGATCTGTGTCCAGCAGCGATGTCAAAATTTTAATAGGAGGCTATTTTTTTTTCCTCAAAAGACAAGTCCTCATGATATTCTTGTGTCCTAAAAAAAAAAAAAAACACTCCTGTGAGAACACTGTAAAAAAAATAATCAATCTAAGACCGTTCTCTTAAGAATCAAAGCAACATCTTGTGAAATTTATTCAATTATTCTTCATTGCAATATCAGGGCTTTTCACTTGCAGAAAAGCACTTAAATTACAACAGCAGTTGCCCGTCATCCTTTGAAATATTAAAATTATTCACAATTTACAATAATTAGAGTGTTACAATAAAAAGAGATGATTTCCAAGAATTAAGACACAGGCTTCTGCAAATGAACACAAATGTTTAAAGAATGTGATTTTCCCATATCTTTTAAAGCACTTTCTTATGATTATGACACGTTTTCTCATTTTCAAATAACTTACAAGAAACCCCCTCCTCCCTCCCTCCCCCCCTCCCCCCCAAAAAAAGAAATTATGAGACAATTGAAGCAAATATACCCCCATGTGAACCTGGCGTAACCCTCAACTAAGACTGTGAAGTGATGGACAAAAAGATGATAGCACAATAACCAATATCTCAGCATCATATTCGTTATATAATTCCACTGGTGGCTATTCGAAAAAAGCCGAGATGAATATGCTATTTACCCTTCATTTACAATATCATAAACATTCTGTACAAAATGCAGGTAGTTCTCGGGACCGGGGTTATTTAGAAAAGAGGTAAATATTTGGTTATGTGTTCGTTTGCAGTTTTCAATTATTCTGTGAGTTCTAAATGTGTGTTAGAGGGACCGTCCCGTTCACTCCAGCCGTGGCGCTCTGGTAATGCTGCGGCAAGGCATGGAGTCTACTTTGCATTGACGGGTCCCCCGGCTCTCCGGTCGGTAAATACATGCTTATCATCTCTCTCAAGTCTCCGGGGCAAGGACCCCGTGAGTGTGTGCTGCTGACGGGAGGGCTTACACTCGGCTCCGACTTCACCAGCGACCCTAACGTCCCCATGGCAGCTGAGGAGGAGACGCCGGAGCCCTGGTGTTGTGTGTAGGTGATCCCGCCGTAGCCGGATGGAGAAGCGTTCATGTAGCTCTGAGAGTTCGAGATGGGGCTGTACTGCAGGGCTGTCATGTCATAGCGGTGCATGGGCTGGGGGTTGTGTGAGTGATGGTGGTGTGAGTGGTGGTGGTGGTGCGCTCCGCTCCCCGGGTGCTGGCTGTAGGCTAGCTGAGCCTCCTGCATCATCGCCGCTGCTGCCGCGGCTGCAGCCACCTGCCCCGAGTACGCACCGTTCGCCCAGCCGTTCATGTGCGCGTAGCCGGAGCTGGCCGAGCCTCCGTGACCCCCGGGGCTTTCTAACCTCTGCCCGACCCCGGATGAACTCATGCCGACCCCTAAACCAACTCCACCGCCACCACTGGGCCCAGAAAGCAGTCCACCGGCAAGGGAATATTTGTCCTTTTTCAGCAACGTCTTGGTCTTCCGTCTTGGCCGGTACTTGTAATCCGGATGCTCCTTCATGTGCATGGCTCGCAACCGTTTCGCCTCGTCGATGAAAGGACGCTTCTCAGCCTCGGACATCACCTTCCACTCGGCGCCCAGCCGCTTGCTGATCTCAGAGTTGTGCATTTTGGGGTTCTCCTGTGCCATCTTTCTCCGCTGCCCACGGGACCACACCATGAACGCGTTCATCGGTCTCTTCACGCGTTCCTGATTCGCTTTGGACCCGCTATTCGGCCCCGTTTGCCCCGTGGTCGTGTTCGTTTGGGGGCCGGGGGAATGAAGGTCGGTTTCCATCATCATGCTATACATTCACCTGGTTTTAAACTTCGCCACCAACAGAGAAAAAAGTCTAATTCAAGATAGGCGCGGTGCGCACAAGTACGGGCGCGCTCAGGATGACTGGGTTACAAAATGAATATTCTAACCCCACATGAAGCAAATGCGAGATAAAAATTAATCCGAAAAGGCATATAAAATGTTCTCCAACCAGTATTTCACCCTGTCTTCGCCTGGGCTTGGTTCACATCCACTGTGATAGAATGCGCATTTGAGCCACTTTCCCTGTCGGAGTTGAGAAGTTGGTTAAAGCGGCGGCCATATGATGCGCACTGACAGCGGTTAAATGAGCCACAAGCGGCCAATGAGGCTCTAGAAGCAGAGTGATTTGCATGGCGTTTGGTCAGGTGACTAGAGGACCATAGAGGAAGAACACACCGGAGGAGGAGGAGGAGAAGGAGGAGGCAGAAAGGAGGGTCAATCCCACAAATAGCACGAGGCATTTGAAATTTCCAAACACGCTCTTCGATACTTCAACCACAAAAATAACTAAGATTTGTTAGCAGTGGGTGCAGCCTGTGATTACAAGGAGTCAAACATCTCAACATGTATATATTTTTTAAAGTATAGCTGCTCAATTTAAATAATCACTTTAACATACAAATTCCACATCAGGCAGCTTATAAATTGAGAGGCTTCAATAACAGTGATTCAACTTTTCTTTTCTTTTTTACCCTCTACTTTCTCTCTATACTTGAGATTGAAAGACAGTTTCCTCCCATATTTAACCAGTTATTCTCACATTCATTGTGCGTCCTGGAAGCTTGGGCCCCAACTGTATTTTTTTACGCACTGGAATTATACTCTACACTCTATCCAATCTCAGACGACTTGATGCTGAAGCAGCGCCTCAAAATCATTTTTCAGACCATCTCTCTCTCGCTCTCTCCTGCTCTCTCTCCCTCTCTGTGCCCCTCTCTCTCTCCTTCCAGGTATGTAATTAAGGTATGTAGTAATAGTAGGTGTCAGGGACAGAAATTACGCACACTCAACGCAGAAAATGATGTGAAAGAGATTTGGTAAAAAACTGTTGGTCTAAGAGGAGAAGCCCATGAGGATGGATAGTCATATAATGACGTGAAATTGCCGGGGCAAAGCGCCGTTATCGCCGTCTGCTGGTGATGGTGAATGCGTCCCGGCCATGCCTCTGTCTCTCTCCGTCTGTGTGTGTGTGCAGCTGTACATGACAAGAAATGTAAACTACTACCGCTGCTGTCGTGGACTTTTTTTTTTCCTCCTATGGTTCATTTTTACGCCTCTTATTTAATACCCAGTCAAGTAGCCAGTTTGCAAACCCCGAGAGGGAAAGCGGTCTATGTGTCTTCGAGTCCGCGCATATATAATCCAGATTTCACAGCTGACCTCCCCTGAAAAGCCCAATCAACCTCTAATTGAAAGGGAAAACGAAATACCACTTCCCGCGGCGAGACTAACGATTTAATCATTCTATCGTTCTTTGGTGTGT